TGAACTTTATGAGATAAAGATATAATTTCACCGAATAATGTCCTTCGTTTTACTCGTTTCTTTGCTAATCGTCATCGTTGTCGTCATCGCTGTCGCTGTCATCGGTTCGTTGCTTAGTAGGCGTGGCGTCTGGGTGCTGGTGCGGGTTGCTTGGGAACGGCGGAGGCAGGTCCTGAGTGAACCTTCGCTGCTTCCAGCTTCACGGCCTGATACTGCACCTTACCGGGTCCCTCGAAGCCGTACGCAGCTCCCTGCTCGGTGCTGCCCTCTCCGCTCACCTGCTGCGTGCTACTCCTTCGATTGTTTCTGGCATTTCCCTTTTTTTTTTTTTTTTCCTGCAGCCTGCTGCGGATGCGGGTAGCTCTCAGCTCGATGCCCAGTTGCCACTTCCGCTTTCCGCTCTGCACGCGCCACGACGCGCCTCTCGTCTGCCTGGCAATCCGGCGATCCGGTATCGGCTGCCGGATGACTAACCTGCTCCTGGTTTCCCCGCCTCTGGATCCGGACGGGGCGCGCGGATGCGTCCTGCCGCAGAGCTCCGCTGAAGCTGAAACTTTCGGGCATTGATGAAACCCGGTCCGAATGCTTTGCAGGTCGTAGGCGCTGGTGTCGATGATGTGCCGAAGTTATCGATCGTGAAGGTCTGACGGGGCGATCGGGGCTCGAATCGGGGCGCGGGGCGCCTGAGGCTGAACGACTACGAATCTTCCGCCGCCATTGTTACCTCCGAATCCTCCGCCAACGTTACCTCCGAATCCTCCGCCAACGAGTACCTCCTAATCCTCCGCCCACCGTTACCTCGAATCTTCCGCCAACGATGGCTTCTGATCCTCCGCCAACGTTGCCTCGAATCCTCCAGCCAAGCGTTGCTTTCTGGATCCTCCTTGCCAACGTTACTCCGAATCTCCGCCAACTACCTCGAATCCTCCGCCTTGTTGCCTCGACATCTCCGCCAACGTTGCTTCTGAATCCCCGCCAGACGTTAACCTCCGAATCCTGCAGCATTGTTGCCTCGAATCTTCGCGCAAACGTTTACCTCCGAATCCTCCTCACCTCCGAAGAAGCGAGCGTTTCCACCTACGCCTCCTCTGCCGCTGTAGTCACAGAGAACGGTGGCAAGGCAGCTCACGAGAACGGTAACCGCAAGAGTATTCATTGTGACCTGCAAGAGTGAAAGAATATATAGCGTGGCTGAATATCTATACGGCTTATGTGTATTATGTTATTATTATTTATTATTATATTATTATTATTATTATTATTATGTGTTTAGTCAAATAATTCGATGCAACTCTTGTATTATACAATTCTCTTTGCCGCTAAAACATCATAGAAGACTTTCAAGCAGAATATTTAGAAGGCAAGTGGTCAGCAGAGAATTTACCACAGCTCATACGAACACATTTCCATATCTTAAACACACGCTTTCACTACTGACGATACTCTAAAATGCTTTTGCCGGATATCTCAAAACATAATGCGCATTCTGCACCATTTTTAACAATTTACGCATTACTTAGTAGTCGTAGATTCTCTAATGTTCTATCATGCTTACCTGATCGATGTAGCAGCTGGGGGTGCGACTGGTCCTTCGAGTGTTAAGCAACTGGTGACTAACATCGACATCAGGCCTGCTATTTATACCAGAAGACAGTGCATTGCGACCCGGTCGCCTTTACGTAAGTGTCGTGTGTCATCCTACTTGTCAAGGTTATTTCTCGGTTTGCGACAATGCGAAGGAACGCAACCGCGAAGTCAATGAGTGATCGATATATCATACAGGAAATGAAAGGTATAAACACGCGATATATATCACTGGTACATATAGGTGCGATTGTTGAGGAAACGCGTATGTGCGAGAGTACAGATGAGAAATTGAAAGGTGGTAGTTATCTTACTAAACTGTGTGTAGTGTGTGTGGTGTGTGTGATGTAGGTCTATGTATGTAGTGGTGTGTGTTGTGTGTGTGTGTTGTTTCGCGCCGTGTGCGTGCGTGCGTGCCCATGCGTGCATGCGTGCGCTGGCGGTGTGTTGTGTATCAGTGTAGTGTGTGCGTGTGTGTGTGTGCGTGGTGTGGCGTGCGTGCATGCCGTGCGTGCGTGCATGCGTCTGCGCGGCGCGTCGGCGTGTGTGTGTGGTGTATTCAGTGTATGTGTGTGTTGTGTCTGTGTGTTGTGTGTGTGTGTGTGTGTGTGATGTGTGTGTGTGTTGTGTGTGTGTGTGTGACTAGCGATGTGTGTGTGTGTGTGTGTGTGTGTTGTGTGTGTGCTGCTGCCTGTGCGCTGCGTGCATGTGGTGCTGTGCCTTATATATATATATATATATATATGTATATATAATATTCCGCCTTCATACCGATGTAGGAGAAGAAAGGAATTGTTGACCTGATTATTTTCATCCCATAGGACTTCGACAGCAGCGGACGAGGCCGACACAGCGTATTCAACGGGGCGAGAACAAAAGTGTCACAATGTAATGGCGTAACTGTGCTGCCTGTGTTCTAGCTGCATTTGCATACGTAATACGGGTAGTAGGAATGTGTCAGCTCAACCTACCAGTGAAAGGACGACCCAGATCGTCACCGCGTCTCAAGGCAAGCCCGCATATAGTCGCAGGTCAAGGATGTCTCTGAACAAGAAGTGTGACACACTGAAAACGATTCGGATCGTGCACAAGTATATACACAGAGTATAGACAGGCATATTAGACCGGGAGCCCAAGGGGGTCAGCCTAGCTGGAAAGGAAACCAATTTTCATGCATATAGCAATGATTCGTGTACATGCCGGCCGGGCCGCGTGGTAGGTGTGGTCAGTGGGGTCATTTGAAGGCACCCCAAAATTGAGCTAATTAGCTGGAGAGGAAACCCATGAACCTATTAGGAAAATGTTCGCATGGCTTCCAGGTATCAGAAATTGACACTGCCAGGAATTGTTTAGTTAGGCGATTCGCCAGAACCTCAAAAACCCGATACTTAAATATTGAGCTAGATTAGCTGGAAAGGAAAACCGTCTGGCACCCATTGGAAAATGTTCGCATAGTCTCAGTATCGAATGGCCACTGCCAAAATAACTTCAGGAATGGGTGTATTGCCAGACGCCCGAATGGCCGATGCCTGCCATGGCAACACTCTGAAAGATGCCCCCCCCCAAAAAAACAATGCGGTGCAGGATTGCTGTACATTTATGCGTCTAGCTCTACTATGGTACAGGTATACAGCTGCATGGATAGAATTGATAGGCCAAGGGAATGGTGAACTGCGAAATTGTGAGTAGTCATACTCTTATTTTTCCACATTTTATTATATGTATGCGCACCAATACTATAGAGCAAATCCCTCGCACGATTCATTACGGCTATCTCTAAGAAATTAAACAAAATCAATTAACACATCTAATTCAATCAGTCATCTGATAATAGATTTACAAACGTCTGTCAGTGTCACCGTTACTCGCTGATGAGCCATGATCTCTGTCTTGCATTTTACAGGATATCTAAACCTATTCTACTCGATTAGATTTTATGTGCTGTGCCTACCTGATCGAAGTGTCTCCGCTGTTCTGCCTTCTCCTCAAAGTGTGAAGCAACTGGTATCGAACGTTACGCGTGTCGAATACTTATATAGGCGATCACGTCATCAGTCGACCCGATGACCGAGAAGTAAGAGTTGTCGTCGTCTGTAATCTCATATATTCCTGTGTTCCGTGGTCCTATAGTCATCATGACAATAGCGAGGGGAGGGGAAAATCGAAAGGTGGGTGTGTAATCATAGCAGTGCTAAACACTGCGGTGACCTTCTACGTGAAACTAGGTCTGTATATCGCGACACCATTAGCTAGTCTTTTGTTTCAATTAAGCCAGGCGACTGGGGACTTGTGGGGTCTCGTTCGTCAACTATGTGTGTATATGTGTATTTATGTAGGTAGAGAAAGCGGGCAGAGAGGTAGAGGGGAGAGAGTGAAATAGAGAGAAAGAGAGAAAGCGAGACAAGGGGAGAGAGTGAAAGAGAGAGAAAGAGAGAAAGCGAGACAAAGGGAGAGAGTGAAAGAGAGAGAAAGAGAGAAAGCGAGACAAGGGGCGAGACAAACAGAAAGCAAGAAGGGGCGAGCGAAAAGGAGCAGGAAAAGGGGTGAGACAGAAAGAGAGAGACAGAGAGTGAGCAAAGAAAGATGTGAGAGAGTGAGCGTAGAGAGAGAGTGACGGAGGTGGGGAAGAGAGAAAAGGGTGGGAGAGAAAGAGAGAGGTAAATATTAAAAGTACGAGATAGGAGGAATGAAGAGAGTGTGATGTAAACTCTCTTATCTATTTACACGGTTTGGCAGTGACAGCTGACCACCTATTTATGAACAATGACGCCGCATCACAACTCTCCGCTCTCTAATCATCGGCTTACATAATTAGTAAGCGTGCGCTTGGTAAACACCGACGATGACGTCACGTTAATTAGCTTGTACTGCGACCCGACTCTTCGAAATATTGTTTTTGCCGTCTTAACGGCAAGGAGAGCGTTTCACAGGAATAATCGTCGCATTGGTAATACATGACAGAATTTATTTGTAGTACGTCATTGACAGACAACGTAATTACACACTATATCTAGTAATAATTCTAGTACTATCTAGCAGTAGTCTAGTATAATTCGACTCGCATGATTCACGTATAATATTATAAGCTATTCCATGTAACATTTTGTAGGCGAACCAACAAAACTCGTAGAGCAGTAGCTCTCGTTTGCTTGTTTCGATTTTTGTTTACGGTGGCTTCTTGCGATTTTAAGATATTTAGATCATTTATAGTAACGTCCTGCTAAATAGGAATGAATGGCTCGCTAAAATAAAATAAAATAAATTTAAGATATTTAGATCATTTATAGTAACGTCCTGCTAAATAGGAATGAATGGCTCGCTAAAATAAAATAAAATAAATTTAAGATATTTAGATCATTTATAGTAACGTCCTGCTAAATAGGAATGAATGGCTCGCTAAAATAAAATAAANTTCTTGTAGGAAACAACAAATTTTATAGAATGCTACGATCCAAAGTTTGGTCTATATACAGCTCGAATATTGACATGGTTGAGAAGGTTCTTAATTAGACAACTTGTAATTATATATTTTTTCACTTTTTCTGGGGGTCTGCAAGAGGTAAAGTTAAGAAATCAAATATGATAAATGACATAAAACATGATGGTTTGAACTAAATTTGGAAAAATGGATTTTGATATACTTGAGTACTGAATATTGAATGAAGAATAAAAAATGTTTAATTACTGGATTGCTAAATTGGGAGGCAATAATGTGATTTGGAATTGTAAATGTGTGCCATATGATGTTTCATTTTATAGAAATAAAATACCTTTGTGTTAATATTTTGTGATGATGACCTTGTGAGTAATATTTATTTTATTTTTTTATTTGCCGTATGGCTTCATGTGAGGAACTGTTCATGTTATTTTTCTTGTCCGCATCATTTTGAAGACACTTCTTCTTTTTCTTTCTTCGCATTATTAGTCCCACTCAAGTGGGGCCGCTGCAATGGACTATACTGTATATATAACCACTATATATACACTGTATATGAGAGATAAAAGTGTTGAGCAGAAGTGCTTTATATAAGGGAATAATGTTGTTTCATCAAATCAATGTGTTGTACACTCGAGATTTGTTGGAAGATTCTATTCTGCAAATTAACAACATGAAAAGAATAGGTAGAGAAGCAAAGCTGACCGATAGATCAGTGGCTTCCTCTCCAGCTAATCAGAAGTAGATAATATGCTATTATCTTCTTCTGAGCTAATCTATCTAAATAATGGCCCGGGTGGGGCAGTTGTGGGCGTCTGGTGGGCACACCCAACCACTGAATTATTCTGGCAGTGGCCATTCACGATACCTGGCCGGGACTATGCCGAACATTTCCCAGTGGGTTCCAAAAGGTTTCCTTGCCAGCTAATCTAGCTCAAATTTGGGAGTGGGCCGAGGCAGTTGGGGACATCTGGCGGATACACCCACCACTGAATTATTCTGGCAGTGGCCATTCACGATACCTGAGACTATGCCGAACATTTTCCAATGGGTGCCAGGTTTCCTTTCCAGCTAATCTAGCTCAATTTTGGGGTATCGGTTTTTGAGGTCTGGCGGATGCGCCCCACCACTAAAACTTCTGGCAGTGTCCATTCCTGATACCTGAGAGGCTGAGACCATGCCGAACATTTTCCAATAGGTTTCATGGGGGTTTCTCTCCAGCTAATCTAGCTCAATTTTGGGGTATCTGTTTTTTAGCTCTGGCGCATGCGCCCCACCACTAAAAGATTCTGGCAGTGTCCATTCTTGATACCTGGGACCATGGCACCATGCCGAACATTTTCCAATAGGTTTTTCATGGGGTTTCCTCTCCAGCTCATCTAGCTCAATTTTGGGGTATCTGTTTTTTAGCTCTGGCGCATGCGCCCCACCACTAAAAGATTCTGGCAGTGTCCATTCTTGATACCTGGGACCATGCCGAACATTTTCCAATATATGTTTCATGGGGTTTCCTTTCCAGCTAATCTAGCTCAATTTTGGGGTATCTGTTTTTTAGCTCTGGCGCATGCGCCCCACCACTAAAAAATTCTGGCAGTGTCCATTCCTGACACCTGGGACCATGCCGAACATTTTCCAATATATGTTTCATGGGGTTTCCTCTCCAGCTCATCTAGCTCAATTTTGGGGAT